TCAGATGAAGTATTTTCATTATTCCATGAATTATTCAGACTAGTATCCTCATCTTTGTTGTATTCAACTCTCCAGCCTTCCTAGTGTTGTCTAAAGTTCTCAGATGAAGTATTGTCATTATTCCATGAATTATTCAGACTAGTATCCTCATCTTTGTTGTATTCAACTCTCCAGCCTTCCTAGTGTTGTCTAAAGTTCTCAGATGAAGTATTTTCATTATTCCATGAATTATTCAGACTAGTATCCTCATCTTTGTTGTATTCAAGTCTCCAGCCTTCCTAGTGTTGTCTAAAGTTCTCAGATGAAGTATTGTCATTATTCCATGAATTATTCCGACTAGTATCCTCATCTTTGTTGTATTCAACTCTCCAGCCTTCCTAGTGTTGTCTAAAGTTCTCAGATGAAGTATTTTCATTATTCCATGAATTATTCAGACTAGTATCCTCATCTTTGTTGTATTCAACTCTCCAGCCTTCCTAGTGTTGTCTAAAGTTCTCAGATGAAGTATTGTCATTATTCCATGAATTATTCAGACTAGTATCCTCATCTTTGTTGTATTCAACTCTCCAGCCTTCCTAGTGTTGTCTAAAGTTCTCAGATGAAGTATTTTCATTATTCCATGAATTATTCAGACTAGTATCCTCATCTTTGTTGTATTCAACTCTCCAGCCTTCCTAGTGTTGTCTAAAGTTCTCAGATGAAGTATTGTCATTATTCCATGAATTATTCAGACTAGTATCCTCATCTTTGTTGTATTCAACTCTCCAGCCTTCCTAGTGTTGTCTAAAGTTCTCAGATGAAGTATTTTCATTATTCCATGAATTATTCAGACTAGTATCCTCATCTTTGTTGTATTCAACTCTCCAGCCTTCCTAGTGTTGTCTAAAGTTCTCAGATGAAGTATTGTCATTATTCCATGAATTATTCCGACTAGTATCCTCATCTTTGTTGTATTCAACTCTCCAGCCTTCCTAGTGTTGTCTAAAGTTCTCAGATGAAGTATTTTCATTATTCCATGAATTATTCAGACTAGTATCCTCATCTTTGTTGTATTCAACTCTCCAGCCTTCCTAGTGTTGTCTAAAGTTCTCAGATGAAGTATTGTCATTATTCCATGAATTATTCAGACTAGTATCCTCATCTTTGTTGTATTCAACTCTCCAGCCTTCCTAGTGTTGTCTAAAGTTCTCAGATGAAGTATTTTCATTATTCCATGAATTATTCAGACTAGTATCCTCATCTTTGTTGTATTCAAGTCTCCAGCCTTCCTAGTGTTGTTGTCTAAAGTTCTCAGATGAAGTATTGTCATTATTCCATGAATTATTCCGACTAGTATCCTCATCTTTGTTGTATTCAACTCTCCAGCCTTCCTAGTGTTGTCTAAAGTTCTCAGATGAAGTATTTTCATTATTCCATGAATTATTCAGACTAGTATCCTCATCTTTGTTGTATTCAACTCTCCAGCCTTCCTAGTGTTGTCTAAAGTTCTCAGATGAAGTATTGTCATTATTCCATGAATTATTCAGACTAGTATCCTCATCTTTGTTGTATTCAACTCTCCAGCCTTCCTAGTGTTGTCTAAAGTTCTCAGATGAAGTATTTTCATTATTCCATGAATTATTCAGACTAGTATCCTCATCTTTGTTGTATTCAACTCTCCAGCCTTCCTAGTGTTGTCTAAAGTTCTCAGATGAAGTATTGTCATTATTCCATGAATTATTCCGACTAGTATCCTCATCTTTGTTGTATTCAACTCTCCAGCCTTCCTAGTGTTGTCTAAAGTTCTCAGATGAAGTATTTTCATTATTCCATGAATTATTCAGACTAGTATCCTCATCTTTGTTGTATTCAACTCTCCAGCCTTCCTAGTGTTGTCTAAAGTTCTCAGATGAAGTATTGTCATTATTCCATGAATTATTCCGACTAGTATCCTCATCTTTGTTGTATTCAACTCTCCAGCCTTCCTAGTGTTGTCTAAAGTTCTCAGATGAAGTATTTTCATTATTCCATGAATTATTCAGACTAGTATCCTCATCTTTGTTGTATTCAACTCTCCAGCCTTCCTAGTGTTGTCTAAAGTTCTCAGATGAAGTATTGTCATTATTCCATGAATTATTCCGACTAGTATCCTCATCTTTGTTGTATTCAACTCTCCAGCCTTCCTAGTGTTGTCTAAAGTTCTCAGATGAAGTATTGTCATTATTCCATGAATTATTCCGACTAGTATCCTCATCTTTGTTGTATTCAACTCTCCAGCCTTCCTAGTGTTGTCTAAAGTTCTCAGATGAAGTATTTTCATTATTCCATGAATTATTCAGACTAGTATCCTCATCTTTGTTGTATTCAACTCTCCAGCCTTCCTAGTGTTGTCTAAAGTTCTCAGATGAAGTATTGTCATTATTCCATGAATTATTCCGACTAGTATCCTCATCTTTGTTGTATTCAACTCTCCAGCCTTCCTAGTGTTGTCTAAAGTTCTCAGATGAAGTATTGTCATTATTCCATGAATTATTCAGACTAGTATCCTCATCTTTTTTTGTATTCAACTCTCCAGCCTTCCTAGTGTTGTCTAAAGTTCTCAGATGAAGTATTTTCATTATTCCATGAATTATTCAGACTAGTATCCTCATCTTTGTTGTATTCAACTCTCCAGCCTTCCTAGTGTTGTCTAAAGTTCTCAGATGAAGTATTTTCATTATTCCATGAATTATTCAGACTAGTATCCTCATCTTTGTTGTATTCAACTCTCCAGCCTTCCTAGTGTTGTCTAAAGTTCTCAGATGAAGTATTGTCATTATTCCATGAATTATTCAGACTAGTATCCTCATCTTTGTTGTATTCAACTCTCCTGCCTTCCTAGTGTTGTCTAAAGTTCTCAGATGAAGTATTGTCATTATTCCATGAATTATTCAGACTAGTATCCTCATCTTTGTTGTATTCAACTCTCCAGCCTTCCTAGTGTGGTCTAAAGTTCTCAGATGAAGTATTTTCATTATTCCATGAATTATTCAGACTAGTATCCTCATCTTTGTTGTATTCAACTCTCCAGCCTTCCTAGTGTTGTCTAAAGTTCTCAGATGAAGTATTGTCATTATTCCATGAATTATTCAGACTAGTATCCTCATCTTTGTTGTATTCAACTCTCCAGCCTTCCTAGTGTTGTCTAAAGTTCTCAGATGAAGTATTTTCATTATTCCATGAATTATTCCGACTAGTATCCTCATCTTTGTTGTATTCAACTCTCCAGCCTTCCTAGTGTTGTCTAAAGTTCTCAGATGAAGTATTGTCATTATTCCATGAATTATTCAGACTAGTATCCTCATCTTTGTAGTATTCAACTCTCCTGCCTTCCTAGTGTTGTCTAAAGTTCTCAGATGAAGTATTGTCATTATTCCATGAATTATTCAGACTAGTATCCTCATCTTTGTTGTATTCAACTCTCCAGCCTTCCTAGTGTTGTCTAAAGTTCTCAGATGAAGTATTGTCATTATTCCATGAATTATTCAGACTAGTATCCTCATCTTTGTAGTATTCAACTCTCCTGCCTTCCTAGTGTTGTCTAAAGTTCTCAGATGAAGTATTGTCATTATTCCAGGAATTATTCAGACTAGTATCCTCATCTTTGTAGTATTCAACTCTCCAGCCTTCCTAGTGTTGTCTAAAGTTCTCAGATGAAGTATTGTCATTATTCCATGAATTATTCAGACTAGTATCCTCATCTTTGTTGTATTCAACTCTCCAGCCTTCCTAGTGTTGTCTAAAGTTCTCAGATGAAGTATTGTCATTATTCCATGAATTATTCCGACTAGTATCCTCATCTTTGTTGTATTCAACTCTCCAGCCTTCCTAGTGTTGTCTAAAGTTCTCAGATGAAGTATTGTCATTATTCCATGAATTATTCAGACTAGTATCCTCATCTTTGTTGTATTCAACTCTCCAGCCTTCCTAGTGTTGTTTAAAGTTCTCAGATGAAGTATTGTCATTATTCCATGAATTATTCAGACTAGTATCCTCATCTTTGTTGTATTCAACTCTCCAGCCTTCCTAGTGTTGTCTAAAGTTCTCAGATGAAGTATTGTCATTATTCCATAAATTATTCAGACTAGTATCCTCATCTTTGTTGTATTCAACTCTCCAGCCTTCCTAGTGTTGTCTAAAGTTCTCAGATGAAGTATTGTCATTATTCCAGGAATTATTCAGACTATTATCCTCATCTTTGTTGTATTCAACTCTCCAGCATTACTATTGTTGACTAAAGTCATGTGATGTTGCATTGTCCATGAATTATCCTAAAAAGCTTCCTTATCGTTATTTTATTCAACTCTTCCTCGTGTCGTCTAAAGTTGCTGAACGTTGTCGTTAATTGTTAATTCTTTTTCACGATTCCATCAAGATTTCAATGAAACATGATTTCAATCAAACAGTATCGAGCGGAAATTAAATTAACGTCGAATTCACTTTTTTGCGTTCCCTTTGCTTTCTTTCCTGCTCTTTACTGCCCCCGCCCCTGACCATGACTCATATTAGTCGAAAGGTTGCAACAAATACAAAATTTGTCTACTTTTTTTTACACCGACTCAAATTTACGAAAAGATATACGGAACACAACGTTTAATAGATATATAAATACCTAGCTAGCTAGATAACAGACTGAAACACACATATATATATATATATATATATATATATATATATATATATATATATATATATATATATATATATATATATAACAAATAGAGATAGATAGATAGATATATAGCTTGAACCGGACTGAAATGGATAGATATATATATAGATAGATATTAACACACTGAGATTTGAAAAGAATGAGATAGATACATGGATTGATAGATAGATTAAAATATAAATAGATTGAAATAGATTTGCATAGACTGAAATGCAATGAATAAGACAGACAAACAAACAGGTAGATAGATAGATGAACAGACTGAGGTAAATAGATAGACAGAAACAAAATAAAGGTGATACCAACAGGCTCAGATAGATAGATAGATAGATAGATAGATAGATAGATTGTAACACTTACATAGATAGATGGTACAGAGGAGGGTACATATCAAATAAAGGCGATAAGAAGGGCTATACCAACTGGTTGAGATAGATAGATAGATAGATAGATAGATAGATAGATAGATAGATAGATAGATTGTAACACTGACAAAGATAGATGGTACAGAGGAGGGTACATATCAAATAAAGGCGATAAGAAGGGCTATACCAACTGGTTGAGATAGATAGATAGATAGATAGATAGATAGATAGATAGATAGATTGTAACACTGACATAGATAGATGTTACAGAGGAGGGTACATATCAAATAAAGGCGATAAGAAGGGCTATACCAACTGGTTGAGATAGATAGATAGATAGATAGATAGATAGATAGATAGATAGATAGATAGATTGTAACACTGACATAGATAGATGGTACAGAGGAGGGTACATATCAAATAAAGGCGATAAGAAGGGCTATACCAATTGGTTGAGATAGATAGATAGATAGATAGATAGATAATGAAGAGATCTTGATAGACAAATAGATAGAAACGAACAAACTAAGATCAATACATAGGTATAGATAGATGACATTCCCTGAATTACATCAGATAGTCAGCTAGATAGGTAGATAATGAGCAGACAGGGATAGATAGATAGATAAATAGTTAGATAGATGATATTGCCTGTATAAAAATCATATATAGATAAACAGATAGGAAGATAATTAAGATAGATAGATAGATAGATAGATAGATAGATAGATACGAACAAACTGAGATCAATAGATAGATAGATATTTAGATGACATTCCCTGAATTAAAATCATACTCAGAAAGGCAGATAGATAGACGGATAATGAAGAGACAGAGATAGACAGAAACGAACAAACTGAGATAGATAGATAGATAGATAGATAGATAGATAGATAGATATGAACAGACTGAGATACAGCGATAGATATGAACAGACTGAGATAGATAGATCACTCCGATAATTAACTTGCTGATAGATAGATAGATAGATAGATAGATAGATAGATAGATCGATGACATTCCCCGAATTAAAATCCTATATAGATACATACATACATACATACATACATACATACATACATACATAATGAAGAGAGATAGATAGATAGATAGATAGATAGATAGATAGATAGATAGATAGATAGATAGATAGATAGGAAAATTGACATAGATAGTGCAGAGGAGGATAGGAACCAAATAAAGACAATACCTAGGGCGATAACAACTGGTTTTGATAGATAGATAGATAGATAGATAGATAGATAGATAGATAGATAGATATGAACCAAATGAAGGATGCCAACAGGCAGAGTTTGTGTCTATATTTCTGAGATGAGGTATTATGTACATTATTTACATTATCCGGACTATTGTCCTCATCTTTTTCGCCATATTTATTATTACAGTGTTTCGGCCGTTGTACGCTACGACCTTCTTCAGATGGTTGAAATATCGAATTTAACCCTTTATTTCACTCACTGGGGTAGACTGTTCTCAAGGACACATGGCACAGTGGATAAAGGCGTTGGTTAGATCCAGTGACAGGACACAACTAGTGTAAGTTCAATACCCGGTTAAGGCAGTGGAGAACTTTCAGAGGGAAATTAACATAACTGATAACTGACATCCATAAAGAAAAAACAAGGCACGTGGAACTAGAACAGTCTACCCCAGTGAGCGAAATAAAGGGTTCAGTTCGACATTCCAACCACCTGAAGAAGGCGGTAGCGTACAACGGCCGAAACGTTGTAATAAATATGGCGACTGACTGACGGAAAGGTTAAAATCTGGCGCAGGCCTCACGAGGCCAAAGAGCTTAATTGTCAACGAAACACTGTACAGAATTGTACTGGACCCATAGTGATGTCGGTGTTTTCGCGTTAACAAAGATGTGCCGGTGGTGTAATCAATAGTGGCTTGGGATGAGAAATCGGAGGGAGGAGTTCGAATTCTAGTCGAGTTCGTTACATTCCTCTTGACCACAGTATGAATCTCCCTCCCCAGCTACGAGTTACATACTAAAACTAAGAAAAATATATTTCTTACCCACCAAAATTACTCGTCCTATAGATTAAGTTAGATTTACACAGGGGAGGACCCACTATAGATTTTTTAGGTTTTAATATGTTAAACTAGATAGGTGCAGCACCACTTTTAGCAAAAATTTAGTGTTTTTATCGTGATTTCAAACGTCATTAGGTGTCCATCTGAAGTGCTCTTGTATCAGATTACACGGAGTAAATATTTATACCCCATTTTTATTTTCATTGGCAAAATGCTGAGCTCAGCAAAATAATTTGAAACAGAACTTTTCAGGTGCGAAGTCGCTGGCGAGGTAGCTTTTGTCCTATTTTTTTTTTAAATATTTTTTTTGCGGATTGAATAACAATAATGTTATGTCTTTATTTATTGATTTTCTTTCTTTCTTTCTTTCTTTCTTTCTTTCCCTTTGATTACTTAGTCACGTCTGTCGCTCCACCTTCCCGACTAGAAAATTTATTATTTTCTGTTTAAGAAAAAAAAAATCCTTTTGTGTATCCCGATCGATTATGTCTCTCAGATTTGCAGAACATGACTGAGATTCTACAAAACCAACAAGGTTGGAGGTTGGGAGAGAGGGGGGTGGCTTTAGAAAAACACGTACCGCTACGCATGCGCAAATACGTGTATCACGCACATACAAACATACACATAACGCGTATTTGTACGCACAAAGTCAATGCAACAATCGTAGAAATAAATCTCTGCCTTCCATCACATTACAAAAAGAATATATACACCAACATGACAAAAGTCAAGAGAAACCAGTATGTAAAGGTAATGGTAAGTGGCGCCACTGGCACCGTCGGGATCACATGAAACCCTTAGACCCTTAGGATCGTAGAGTTTCCGATTCCTTCTAAAGTCTGCTTCAACTCTATTCTTCTAACGTCTCCGTCTGCACACTGAGTTTTTATTTACTCTTTGTTCATTTTGCTCATCAGGAGTAGATAGATTCGCCTATAGTTCGGTTCAAATTCCTCCCCGGCCTTTGAACAGTAGAATTTTATCCCTTGTTTCCTGTTTAGGATTTGGTTTCCGGTTCCTTCTAAAGTATTTTTTATTCTCCTTCGCTCCCAGTAGCTTCTCACGTCTTAGTGGCATTTTCACCTTGCTTGGGGTGAATTGATTAAAAAAGAAAAGACATTTATTAGTTCTAGTTTTAGCTTACTGTTTTGTTTAGTATTGACTAAGACCTTTATTCTTTTAGATGTAGTAGTAACAAATTTTATGTTGAGTTTAAATAATCTTTTTTATTTGTAAAATGTGATAGAGTTGGTAGAACAATATATTTTTTTAGATTCATTTGGTATAATGTCAAGAGTACGCAGATGTACGCTTTAAGAAACTTTATTCAACTGAAAAATACAAGGTTCGCGTATAGTGTCCTTTTATAGTCCCAGTAAATAGATATAGCCCTCTCAAAGTGGAGAGTAACAAAACAAGGAGAGACCACACTTGATTATTCATAATATTGGGTTTATCAGGCGAGACCATTTCTCTATTTTGGAATATTTATGAGCCTTTTGTTTCGCATTGAATATAAAATAATTGAAGTACTGAAGAAGTATGGATGTATTTTCAATGTATTTCTCCTCTACATGTAAATATTCAGGGCTGCAAATTATGAGTGCTCTTAAATAGAATCCTATGATTACACCGGATTTTATTTGGTTGTTCTGATGAAAATAGAAATTTAATTAGATTGTTGCTTGATTTCCGTTGAACACTAAATTTTAAGCTATTGTTAACGTGGTGTAGCATTATATCTAGGAAAGGCAAGGAATTGTATTTTTCCATTTCGTATGTAAACTCTATTGTATGTTCGACTTTGTTTAGTTTAACTACAAGACCAGGTAAATCAGTATCCCGAAGATGCATTAATAGAGCATCATCAATATATCGAAAGTATGTTGATTGTTTGGGTAAAATATTTTTGAAAAAACAAAAACAAAATTAAAATTCCCAGCATCTCTCGTTCGTGCGCATGTGTAATCGAATCAACGTAACAAATTTAGTCCGATGAAGTCCTACAGGACGAAACGCGTCACACGAAAACTTTTGTCATATATTCACTTTGTCATATATTTACTCCCACTACTGTTCTTGATATATAAAAGTTATATATCGTTATCTCATACATACATACATATACATATACATACATATATATATATATATATGAAGAAATATAGTCTTAAAATGTGCTATATTTATAGGATAAAGTGCTCAATATCAGAAATAGAGCGTGTGTAAATATAAAAGTGAACATAGAAGTCAACACTTAGAGGCAACAGTGTTTCATGCTAGATGCAATCTTCAGGCCTCTTGGACAGTTTGAAACAAATTAATAGGGAATGTGCTTTCTCTGTTTTGAAATTACTTGAAGAAGTCGACGATCCATAGAATTTGTTAATTGTAGGATGTCATCTGCTGTAATGCCGCGAGATATGTCAAGAATTGTTTCCCACAACTCAGCGTTGCTCCTGAATTGTCGTCCATTGGCGTACAATCTTCGCTTCATGATGCTTCAAAGGTTTTCGATTGGGTTCAAATCCGGTGAATTTGCTGACCACTTCATTTTTCGAGGTCTATCGAAGCCTAACTGTTTAAAATATTCAGTAGTCTTGTTAGCAGCATGTGAGGGGGGCATTATCTTGCATAAAAACATTGGCCCTTCTGAAGGCAACTCTTTGCTTTTTCATCCACGGTTCAAGATGCTCCTTAATAAATGCTATGTATGCATCAGCTGTCATTTTGACGCCATCTGGTACTCTCCATGGGCCCATTAATTTTTTTTTCCAATAATACCACCCCAGATCAATATGCCTCCTCCGTCTTGTTGACGTTTCAAACGCTGATGGCGATCCTGTCCGTTCATTACCCAGGCTTTGCACCATCTATCTGGCCCATCAAGTGTTTCTCGAGTTTCGTCTGTGAACAAACCTTTAGAAAAGTCAATCTTCATATTGTCCTTGGCCCATTTCAATCGATTTTGAATGTGATTTCTCGTCAACAGAGGCTTCGATACAGGTTTGACTGTTGTTGATATTTCCCTCAGATACTGACACCGAGTACTTTTAGACACAGTAGGATCCCCAATGCAACTGAAAAGATCTTGATTGGTAAGTCCAGGGTTCTTCGTGGCCTCTCGTTTAAGTCGTGACATGAGACGTGTGAAATAACCCTCGGCTTGCCTTTATCTGCCCTTTTGCGTACTTGTGTAGGGTCGGCAGTGAACTTTTTCACTGTTTGATGACACATCCCTATCATTTTAGAAATTTCTAGGGTAGATTTACCTTTTGAAAGTTCTGAGGTGATAGTTTTCTTTTCAGCATGACTTAAACTGCTTTTACGGCCCATCTTTTCATAAATTCTTACGCTTTTCTAATAATTTTTCACGCTCAAATAACCGTGCTGCTAACAAATATGGTGCCAGTTTGTTTACATTGTGCAGATCAGTACGAATATTTCAGTGATTGCGCAGGTCAGTCTCGCCAACATTGTGTGAAAATTTTGTGTGAATTGATTGGACGGTTTTTGAAATATTAGAAAAAGTTATCTCGATAATAATTTGGCACGAAGTGTATATATATATATATATATATATATATATATATGTATATATATATTATACAGGACACGCATCAGTCAACTTCATTCTTTTCATAAACGCTTTCATCGATCAATATGCGGTTATACATGGAACGACTAAAACTCTTACCCTGATCTTTTCATCAAATGTGGTATCGGTGGTATTGATTCCTTACTGATGCAATCACAGTTCAGCTGGTCATGTCATCCGAATGAGTGATGTTCGGATGCCGAAAAATTCTCATGTATAGTCAACTATTTCATGGTAAGCGTAATGTAGGCCGACCTTGGTTACGCGTCAAGGATAAACTTAAATACAAAAAACCCTATAGAGAGGTTCGAACTTGCTGTGGAAAACCGAGCAAACAGGAGAAACACCTGCTACCGAGGTATAAGCAACTTTGAAAGAAATCGTTTCAATCATCTGAGAGAATTAAGAACCAGTACTAAATCTTGGGCCAATATATCAGTCCATATGATGGTCAACCCTTCAGCATGTCCCTCATGTGGACTTGTTTGCAAATCCCGTGCAGGATTGATGTCTTATACGAAACATAAACATAAAACTGAACTGAAAGACACTGATACGTCGAAAACGATGGTAGAGACCATCATATATATATATATATATATATATATATATATATATATATATATATATATATATATAGTCATCCACATTGAT